TTTAAACGGTTTGGTTTAAAAATCTGTCAAAAATCGATAAAATCGGACCGTTTGCACTCCTAACGGTGATGTCCGTCCATAGAAGGGATTGAGGGGATTTTACTGGAAGGCTCCCTGTAACAGCGTCACATTGTGTGTGCGATCGCGCACGTGCATATATTTTTGTTATTTTTTCATTTCAATTGAGTAATGTTAGGGCTGTTTGTAGTTTCAAAAAACCATCTTTTTGGTCCGAAAATTTGTAGTTCTTATAATATTGCAGCTGCTTTGTATTTGTTATATTTGATGGAAATACAGAAAATAATCTGTCAAACAATTTGAAGTTGGAGATGATTTATTGCATGTGAATTTCAGAAGTTTTTCTACAAATTATCATAGGTTTGGAGTTCTAGTATGCTCTCTATCTCCTTTTCACCATTCAAATTTTGATACGTCAATATAATTTAGATTTTGCTATTCGTCTAGAGCCACATGGGCCCCGGACGAATGCGCCCCCTATCGACTGGGCGGCCCATGTGGCATGCCACTTTAGCCAAACCTATATAATTTTGAAGTGTTAATAATTTGTCGAGATATATTTATATTCTCTAAGAGAGACGTTCAGCCAATAAGGGGTGCCACGTGCGTCCCTTGAAATAACCTGTCACTCTAGCAAAACCCATATGATCTTGAAGCGTTAATAATCTGTCGGGATATATTTTTGTTTTTCTTAAAGATTTGTGCCACCAAAACTTTGACACTTCAAAATTATATTGATAATTACTATACGATAAGAAGAAGAAGAGAGAGAGAGAGAGAGAGACCAAAATAATATGTCATCTATAGTAAATTACTTCCCGAAAAGGAAAAAAATAAATGAAGACAAGAAAATTCCTCCCCCCTAAAAGGAACAATAAATTAATAATCTCGGTTAATTAACATTTTTGGTTGATCATGACGACTTACTAAATTAATAATTGGCAAAATTTATAAAATACTATACATTATAAAAAATTTATATAGATCGCACGTAATATATTATTTTATGATAAATAGTGTTTACGATTCGACTATGCGTGCTACCTAAATTATATTTGTTGTACTTGCATATTGTTTGATGCATTTAATCAGTTATTTAAATAGAATTTTTGCTTAGCTAAAAGTTTATAAAATGTACTAATATTGTACCACTCTAATTCTCGAAAAATAAATGCAGTCGTGAATTTTACTCTATTAAACAAATACATAAAGAGTTTTTAGTTCCTGCACAATATTTAAAAAATTATTAATTAGTTGATAAATTAATAGATTATCAATATTTTACCATTTGCTGAATAAATAAATTTTCCTTGATTAGAGATTGTGATATATATATACATTCTCACAAAATTATCCAAGAAAAAAAGTTAAAAATTATTGAACTCAATGGCCCATCCAACCTAGCTCGTGAAAAATTTTAGAAAAATGCCATCTAGTCTCAGTGATTCAGTGTCGCTAAAACATCAATCTATGTGATATTATATAATAAATTCAGTGAAATTATGTAAGTCATTTAATCGAACATATCATTTAATGTTACTAGTACTGTCACCTAGACGGGTATTAAATATCAGTGATATTAAATAATACTACTCTATTTGATAACTATTATTTCAAAATTCTTCAATTTTCATATTCATTTTTAACCATATCTTTTATATATTGAAAGTGGCTATATAACGAAATTTCTTATTTTTAACGAAAAAACTAATGGAATTTGTTGTTTTAACGGATCATGTAACGGAATTTCTTGTTTTAAACAGGCAGTTGCACCTTCTTTCAGTGTTTTTATCATAACTTTGTATTCCGATATCCGATTTAGGCGATTCAAAATGCATTAGAAAGCTAACTCATATGGCTACAACTTTGATTCAGACATCATTCTCCAACTTGATCACTTTCTATGCCAAAAATAGGTCTCAATATAACTAACTATGTAACGAAATTTCTTGTTTTAA